TAAAGCCAGCATGAACAAACATTTCTTATCTCTGACTACCAGCCTAGTCAGGTCCTTTAGCAAGTAGTTCTTGAAGTGTCTCTTTGTCTTTCTGAATAAAATCAGCTGTGTGAGGAGAAAAATGTCTGAGGCCGTAGTAGAGAGAAAATATTAATATGGCTAGTTGAACATTACTTTTTTTACCTCATAAATCATTTGAACACTAGCAGTAGCTCCCTCTCCCTCTCCTCATACTTTTCAACAAAGAGATGATTTGCAACAGGCCTGCAAGTAACATGCACTGCAATTCTTTCTTACCTGGGAGTAAATCTCAGTGAATTCAATGAGGCTGACTTCTGGGTAGATATGAAACACTCACACTGCTTGTCACCTATTATGATTTCAGAATTGTCTTTAGATTAACAGAAAGGAAGGTTTTGCAAAACCAATTTATATTTTTCTTTCCTTTTAGACCATTAAATTACACAGGGAAGCATGGGCAGCTGAACTGGTAAAAACGACCTGCAAGCTAGCACTTTTTATTCTGAAGGTTGATCTTCTACATTACTCATGGGATATGGAATAGAGTAACTCAAATCAAACAGCTTATATTTTTCTTTAATTCCTCAAAGAACAAATTGAGGGGCACTTCCCCTTTCTCAAATATATTCCGCTCTTAGGTGCAAATACAATGCGGCAGTGAGATTCTCATTCCGAAGCAAAGGACATGAAGCGACAACATCTCTGTCCTGCAGTTTGATGATGATGAATGCAGTTTTATGATGATGATGATTTACCCATAACCTAAAATGAACACTGTGCCTGTATGGGCACTGAACTGATGCTCCCTTGCCCTGCCCTCTTTCTCCATCTCCATTTACTGGGCCACAGCTGAGATCAGCCCCAAGGATCTGTTCACAGCACTTCAATGGAAAAGAGGTACAGCTGCAGACAAGCCACAAATTTGTCAAAGTGACAACTAGTTTCCTTTGTCCATGCGATACCGCCTTAAGGACAGTTCAGTCATCAACTTACAGGAAGGTGTCTGGCTGCTCAAGCACCACTGCCATGACCTTATCAACAGCTTGTGGTGTAGGAGATCAGATCAAACCAGACCAATCAAAGCTGATGCTCCTGCCATGTTTTCTCTCTCTAGAACCATGAGATACTCACAAACAGGATTTACTTTTTTAATATCTATCTCTTCACCACTTTTAAAGCTGTGAAGCACAACCAGAGATATTACCAGGCAAGAAAGCAAAACAAGACAATTCCTGTAGTAAAACGAAAAGAAAAACCTATATGGAGGACAGAAGAAACACTTAAAATGGCAACAGACAGATGGGAAGCAAAAGCAAAAAGTGATAGAAGTAGGATCAGGGGGCCGTTTTTCAGTGACTGTCATGTAGAGACAAAGAGAACTACCACAACAACCAGCGCAAACACACACACACACACACACACAAAACAAAAAACAACAAATAAAAACAGAGGAAGTAAACAAAAGGGGAAAAGCAAGAGATCCCTCCCAGAAAACCTAAGGAATCAAAGGAAAATTCAAATCTAGAAAATTCAAGAAAGTGAAATGAAAGCTGTTCTTAAAGTACTGGGAAAAAATAAATAACAAGAGTACAGTAAATGGAATACTAATAAAACTGTTTCAAGCCACAGAAAAATGAATCTATCAAAATTCTAATAAGAATATGTCAACAAATATGAAAACCAAAACAACGGCCCACAGACTGGAAACATTCAATGTACTGTACATTCCAATCCCCAAGAAAGAAGATGCCCAGAAGTGCAGGAATTAGAGGACCATTACTTTAATTTTTCATGCAAGCAAAGTGATGCTCATGGTATTGCAACAAAGGCTTTTTACTTTATATAGAATGAGAATTGCCTGATGTTCAAGCTTGATTCTGAAAAGGAAAAGGCACCCGAGATCAGATTGCAAATATCTGTTAGCTACTGGAGGGCACCAGAGAATTTCAGAAGATTGGTTTATGTTTTATAGACTACAGCAAAGCCTGACTGTGTGGATCATGAGTGTGTTGTTGTGAAAGAAATGGGTATGCCTCAGCACTTGATTGTTCTAATGCATAACTTGTATTATGGACAAGAAGCTCCTGTTAGGATAGAATATAGAGAGACAGAATGGTTTCCTATAGGCAAAGGTGTCAGACAAGAGTGCCTGTGCTATTTTTCATTTTATATTTCTGCCATTTTATATTTCTGGATATTTTTTTATTTTGGTGTGTTTATTCACAATCATTGTTTTAGGTTATTGTAAATCACCCAAAGTAGTGTTTTCACACTAATGGGGTGGTATACAAATACACACACACACACACACACACACACATACACACACACACACACACACACACACATACACACACACACACACACACACACACACTTGTATACCACTCCATTAGTGTGAAAACACTACTTTGGGTGATTTACAACAATCTAAAACAATGATTGAATAAATAAATGAATAAAATTTTATCCCCTTATCTGTATGCAAAATGTATCATACAGAAAGCCAGACTAGATTCAAAGGAAGGAGAAAACTGGTGGAAGAAACATCAATAATTTATGCAGATGACACCATCTTACTCTCAGAAAGCAGCAATGAGTTGAAACGTGAAAGTGCCAAAGCAGGACTGCACTTGAACATTAAGACAAAAATCATGGCTATAGAAGACCTGCACAACTTTAGCATTGACAATTAAAAAATTGCAATTGTTAAAGATTTTGTATGCTTTGGTTCAATCATCAATCCAGACTGCAGTCGAGAAATCAAAACGCTGAGACTACGAAGGGCAGCATGAAGGAACTAGAGAAGACAATCAAAGATTTCCAGGTTCTGCCTTAGCTGGGCATTTCAGTGTAAACTAAGGCCGGTCCTGGGGCCTGCTTGCAAATCTATGTACTGTATACTATATGAGGAGCCAAGTGGCGGAGGGAAACAGAGCTGGGTGGCCAGAGTTACACACGGACTTCCATGTGACAGGTACCCCTTAAATTGGGCTGCTCCTGGGGGCCAGTTGCCCTACTACAGAAAGCTCAGCATTGACAGTGGGACAATCTCTGTCTCTGTTAAACAGGAGACACCTATTGGCTAGAAGTAGGAATGCTCTCAATAGCCAACGGTAGAGCAGCCTTCCTGAGCCTAGTCATAGAGTGCTTCTGAACCATCCAAATACTTTGGACTCTAACCCTCATAGGATTCAGCCAGCAGGATCACCAGTTAGGGATTCTGTCTGCTAGGTAGGACACAAAGCAACTGTAGCCAGAGTTTGCTGGCTGGAGTTCATGAGATTTTTAGGCTAATACATCTAGAAGGTATCAGGTTGTGTGCTTGGCAGCTTCTCTTAAAGGCCTTGGATCTGATCTCAGTGCAGCCACGCATTGATGAAGACACTGTTAACAAACTTGGGACTCCAAATGTTCTTGGGCTGCAACTCCCAAACGGCTTAGCTGGCACAGCTAATAGGCCTCAAGTTTGGGAATATCTGTGGTAAGGAGCCTAAGGCAAGGTGTTTTTAAAAAAAAGCCTTGTCCCTCTGAAGGTTTTTGACAGCAGCATTTCCTGGCCCAACCTGGAGATACTAAGGATTAACTATGTAGCCTCAACTATGCAAAATTTGTGCTCTGCCACTAAGTGTGCAAGCCTAGGTTGACCAGGCTGTTCTGAAGATTAGAGATAACACTCCCCCTGTTGAGTCCATTCAAGCCTGCATTATTTCGAGCTTAAATTGATAGTACATTCCTTTCAGTCCCATCATTGACTGCACAGACTCACCCCCACCACAATCACACACGTGTGCACTCATCCCTTCACAAAACCAATGGTCCCACAGCTCCCAAGTTCAATACACAGCCAGGAAAGCAAAATCAGGAAGTGAAAGGAAGAGTTCAGCAGAGCGAGAGGTCTGGGAATCAAATCGCTGCCTCCCGGACACGAAGTCGGGAGCCAGAAAATCCCCAATAATGGGTTGCCCCAGGAGGGCAAGGGAGCTTTACAGCAAAGCGGGGGGAGGCGGGGGGCGTGAGGAAGGGGGAAGAGATGGAGTGTGGGGAGATCATACCCTAAGGGCTTGTGTAGTATGAAAGCAGCCATGATTCACTGGATAGGGGAAGGACGGCGAGCGGTTGTCAGCAGAGACTGGTCGTCTCAGAAACCCAACTGTAAACTGATGAATGGAGCCCGGCGCCACGGAGGTGGCAGAAACACACGCTGGTCTGATCGCACGGGGAAAGGCACAACCCACCCACCGGCAGGGCTGTGCACGGGCGCACGCTCCATCCATCCCGGCCCGGATGTCTGCACGCAAGTTCCCAACGAAGTCCGGGTGCCCGCCCAGCAGGCGAGGAAGACCCAACGCGGCGCCCGGCCCACGCGCGTGGTTCGCCGT